AACCGAGCGATTCTGTGATTCTGTGATCAGTTCAGAAGCACTGCTTTCAATAGAAACTGCAGTATGAGGAAGCATAATGTCATCGACTCTACAGCTTCCTCATGCTTCCAACAGACTTTTATTCAAAAGGCTGCCTTAGGGAAAAAAAAAGTCTATCCCTGTCAATGTCTTCACCCAGGCTATATTCTCTTCCAGTTATAGGACTAAATCACAGAATCACAGAATGGTAGGGGTTAGAAGGGACCTCTGAAGATCATCCAGTCCAACCCCCCTGCTAAACCACCTAGAGAAGATCACACAGGAACACATACAGGCTACTCATTATTGAGGATAAACAAGAGCTAAAAGTAACACAAATCATTAGTTCCTTCACAAATTGTTTAAACTTAGTCTTTTTGACTCAGGAAGGGTCACTATTTCACTGTTTCTCTGGTCATCAAAAATGCTGCAAAGCCAGAGAGGACACACCTAGAGACAACTCCAGTGAGAGTAAATCCAGTAGAAACAAGAGAAATCACACTCCTACAGTTAAAAAAAAAAATCTAAGTACAGTTAGAAAGCAGTTAAATATGAAATAGTTAAACATTAATTAAAAATAGACTAAAATCCATTAATCTCTGCAGTGCCATGTTAAAAAAACCATGCTAAATATAAGAAGCTCTAATGATGACAGGCAAGAAACTGTGAATGCACTGAATTCCCTTAAAATCTCATTTTTCAAGACAGCAGAAAGAGATCAAACAGGCACCTTAAAAAATGTCCAGTCCACTCCCAGCTTTAAGCCTTTCAGGTCAGGAACACACATATCAGACAGGGTTGCTTTGGGCTGTTTCAGTCCTGTAGGGAACAAAGAAGAGTTCTTCCTTTTATGTAGGATGCCTCTCAGAAGGCAGAGCACCTGGGTTCAGGGAGGGAGAGGGCTCACCTACCATATGGATAGAGTGGATCTGGCTCAGCCAGGATACTGTAAACAATGGCAGCATCTGTCACTGAGGTACAGAGAGGGCCTGTAAAAGAGAGATCAGTGACAAAAATGTGACAAGAGGTAAACTGTGCCGTCAATCCAAGGCCTTCTGTAGTTACAGACTGCCTCCCCTGTGAGAGCACCACACACCAAAGTCCCTGAAGTGGAGCACAAGTCCTCTTACCTACGCTGACTGTGGAGTAGGAGAGCGGCAGGCTGCCATGACAACTGATGCGCCCAAATGTGCCTGGAGAAAAAGAAATGGATGGTCAACCAGGTATCAGCAGTCACTGGTAAGGTCTGACCTGGATGGCTCTGGTGCACCCAGTCAGTAAGGGACAGACCCCGGCCAGTCGCTTTCATGTCTGCCACTTCAGAGCCACTCACTCATCTTTCAGTACCCTGAAACATCAGTGAAACAGATGCACTCGACAGACAGTGAAACTCTTTTCCCCCACAAGAAATTATTTAGTTGAGGGTAAATATGTGGAGGCACATTTTGAAATACACTGTCGTTGTCTAGATAGTTGTTCTATCACCCAATAACTGCTCCCCACTCAGAGAGGGAAATCGGGAAAACAAAAGGAGACCCATGGGTTGAAATAGAAACAGACTTAATAAAATAAGAAAAACAGTATTAATATCAGTATTAATATAAAGTACACAAAGTTGTACTCAGAAAATATAGTGGTTGCAAGAAGCAGGGGGAGTAGGCCTCAGGAGCAGAATGACAGGTGAGACCCTCCAGGTATAACAACCATTGAGGAAAGATGGCTGTCCCCACCAAACTTCCCGATTTATAGTGAGTGTGACGCTTATGTTATGAAATACTGCTCTTGCCCAGCTTGGGTTCGCTGCCCTGGCTTTCACTCCCGCCAGCTTCTGCACCTGGCTAACTTGAAACTGCTAAAGACTTTGATCACTGCATATCAGTGTTGGCCAAAAACTAAAACAAAGTGTCTTATCAGCTTTGTTTCCACTAAACTGAGTACTTTAATCTTTGCAGACATGCAGTTTTCCTGAACAGAAAACTGATCCTATGGTTCTGCCCCAGCAAAACTGGGACATACATGCATTTAAATATGCAGAAGCAGCATCTACGGTATGGAGGATGGAGAAGCAGAAGCAGGATTATTAACAGCAGGAGATATCACCCCATGAGATCTCACCCACTTCACCAGTGAGACTTCATGCATAACACCAGTTATCTTCAGCTAGTAACTCATACTGCCTTTCTGACCAGTTACATTTTTGTCATCAACATTATCTCCCTCAGATGAATCAAGATTAATCAAGCTGATCACATGTGAAGGATGGAGAAACAAAATAATGGCTGGATATCTGGTCTCAGATGAAGCAGCTGAGAAGCTTTGAAATGATAAACCATTCCCAAAAGCTGACATCTCTTCCAAGTGACAGTTCTGCCTTGCCACCTTCCATGCTGTAGACACTGCCCTGTGCATATCTTATGTCCTCTGCACATTCTCCTTGATTACATTACTGCAAAAATTGCATTGCTACTTCCTGTAACGCTGAGATAAGAGGGAATGGCTACAACCTGGTTTCATACAAGTCTATTATCAGGTTTAACTCACCAGATACAAATCTGACCAGCATTAGCCTCTCCACATAACTGGGGTGATGACAAACCATTGTGGGTGGAGACGCCTTACACCAGCTCACTACAGATACCCAATTATGGTCCAGCAAAGGTGGCTGATTGAAGAGGAACAAGTGGGTAGAAAGAAAAGCAGCATGTGTTTTGTTTGACTCAAGAAAGTTAGGGGTTTTTTTTTAACATCTGTTCAATAGCCTGTACCAAAAATACCTCCAACTCTGCCAGTCCAACCCACATGACTCTCAGGGTTTTACTCCAGAGCTTCTCTGGTCAAGTTTTGCTTGACAGGAATTAATGGACTGTGCCTAACTTGTTTGTGGCATGCTATCTGAAGCAGCAAATGAGACACACAGCCCCTCCAGGATTAAAGGGCTCTACCTTTCAGCCCCACAACACCACAGAACGAAGCAGGAATCCTCACAGAGCCCCCTCCATCTGTGCCAATAGCCACCGGGCAGAGACCTACAAAAAAAAAAACACACACACTGGCCTGTAATCAGAGAGATTATCACATTGCCCGGTCCATTCTACCAGCAGCTGTAGCCAGGACAGCATACAGAGCTCTCTGTTCAGCCAGGAGTTCCCTCCAGTTCTTAAACCCCCTCATAAAAATTAAATGCCTGAGGTACTTTGGCTCAGGACCTTCCTCCCACCACCCCTGAACTCCATTTAGGGCCACCTACCCGCTGCTACAGCTGCTGCTGACCCACTGGAGCTCCCTCCTGTGAAGTGGTTAGGCTTGTAGGGATTCCTAGGGATCTTGTGGTACCTGAGGCAGACAAATAACATTGAAACTTTTACTAGGAAGGACCACGTGCACTACAAGGCAGGAAAAAAATCCAGAGACGTAGCTCAGGGATTCTGATCTCTTATTAAAGAGATGTAATTTAATCCCAGATAGTGCTGTGTCCCTAGAAAACAAGATGCCAAAAAAGACTTCTGCCTCAGAGTCCAATCTCTTGTTACCATAAGCAGCCTGTCCAAAAGAGACAGACTCAAAGCAAGAGAAAAGATGCCGCTCCAGCTCTCCTGTCTGGACAGCACTGTACCATTACTGCATGCCACAGCGCATTACACAGTTCCAAAAGCTCTGCACATGGCTTATCACGGTTGTGAGGAGCATTGCTCTGGAATAGCAGTTCTCAGCTTGGCTGTAGGTGGAGAATTCACAACAGTAAAGCAAATTCCAGTGAACTTGTTTTGCTAGGAAATAAAAAGGCTTCATTTTCCTGAGATGACTGTACCTTTTCTCACTGTTCTGGATCTTTAGCCACTACTGTGTCTGAGCCTTAGATTACTATTGATTTGTTTTCTGTCACTGGCTTTGTCTACCACTCATCCTGTAAACATTCACACTTCCAGACCTGGCAAACCAAGTTCCTTAACTCAGCAGACACCACTTGGATCCTCTCCTTCCTTTGGTTTCAGGAGCCTTCAGGCTTCCACAGCTACTCTGACCCTCAAATCTACAATGCTGGGTCTTCATGCAGTCAGGGTGCTGCCTGCACAGGGTGCTTCCATCAGTTTTCTTCTCCCATGCTTGCCCTATTTCTGTACCCTTCCCTGTCAGTTCTGGACAGACTTTTAGGTCTTTCTAGACTCCAGGGAGGAGAGGGGAAAGGGATTTTTACCTATTAGGGTTGCATCCAGTTGTTCCAGTCCCTAGTTCATGCATGTTTGAGACCCCGATAATGATCGCCCCAGCCTCTCGCAGCTTCTTGGCTACAGTAGCATCTTCTGTTTCGGGCTCTGTCCCAAGATACACTGTTCCCACTCGGTGATGATAAGGTACCTTAGCAAGAAGACACCTTTATTATTCATCCTAAAACCCTGGCAAGGAAGGCAGGCACATGTGTGCGTGTGAAGTATGTCCATGTGAAGAACGCACTTCAGCTCCACAACAGATCCCAGACATTTGGACCCACAGAGGTAAATAAGGGCTAGGAAGGTTCACTCTTCAACTTGTCCTGTGTTGGTTTCTGCTAGGAGGGACACTTAACTCTTCAATATTTGGTCCTTCTCCCAGGAGAAACACTTAACCCTTCAATATTTGGCCCTCCTCCCATGCAGAGGAGTCCTTTCAATATCATGATACAGAAGAGCAGAAACATGTAGATGGTTAAAAAGTCTTCCTTCCTGCAGCAATGCAATTGCTACACCCAGGGGCTGCAGGACAGTCACCTTGGCCCCACAGCACACAGGAGCTCTATTTTCCATTTTTCTATGGACAGAACTGCAGCATTTCAGATCTGCAGCACTTTGAAGCAAGCCACCAAGATTAGACAAATGCCAAAACACCAGATGGACTCATTTTCAGGGTATGCTAAGCACTCCTCACTTCAATGCAGCAACGGAAGAAACTGTACATAAACAGGACTCCCACCCGCTGGGTAAGTCTCTGCAGAGCCTACGACAGCTTGGTGGCACTGCCAGGACTATTTAATGGTAACTGCTGTAAGGCCGCAGGCAAAACTCCTTGTAAGTGGGGATTTTCAAAGTAACTTGCATATTTCCAATACATGCCCTTTGAAGTAGGGAGACAGGGATGCTTTGCCAGTGGAGCAAAGTCAGTGCCTGAGAAATACAGACAGTTACACCCACTGCTACAGATGCTTTTATAAGTTCTCATTTCATCATAACAGGGACTGTTTCCCACTCCCACCCTCTACTTCCCATGGAATAAAGAGATCAGCACAAGATACGGAACAGGTCTGTTGTACCCAAGATCTGTCTTCACCTGGCAAAACCTGTTAATCCTACGCATTACATATCCACATATTACCCCTTATTACAAACATATTCTCGGGCCTCCACTGAAGAGTTAGCCCTAAAACCTTGCTGCAGTGAGTTGTCCAGGTTTACCACCAGCATGAACTAACAGCTATACAAGGAAACTCACCACTTTGAATTCTTCTTTCAGACACACTGGGATGCCATCCAGATAAGACAGGGTACATTTATTCCTGTAACGAGCAGTGGAGGCCTCAGCCATCTGCACAGAGAAAATGTTATATATATATTTAGTTGAGCTGAAGGTCATTACCAGTACCAGAATGGATACCAAAATTGGCTTTCTCAGGCTGCTACTAAGCCAAACTATAAAAGTTTCTTTCTTCTTCCACCATATGCTGATGGAAAATCACTACTTGGACATGTCTATGGTAATGGATGCCACATAAGCAGAGAAGTCCTGTTTTAAACACAGTTGTCCAGCAGGAAACAGATTACTTTAATGCTACCTCTCTTTGCAGGTAGGAAAGCAAACTTATTTGTAGTCTTCTACACAAGGAGAGGGAAAAATCTACATATTTTTCTCTGCAATGGATCAGCAGAAGAGCCTCTGCCCCTTCTAATGGATGCTGCTGCTCTTGGGGTGGCAGAGGCCCCTTTCTTACCAGAGGCAGACATTACCAGCATTATTTGCTCCTGGTCCCACTGCACTATTGCTCTGAGTGGGGGCATGGATTTGTCGCAGTCCTCCAGCACCGCAATGATGTTCTTCGCTACCTGGGATGGCGTCAGCTTCCCACTCCTACGGGACAGGAGAAGTTGGGACTTTGTTACAAGACCCCCACACCACACCCACAAGCAGGGTTTGTCTCTCGTGTAGCAAGACAGCAGCTGTCACAGCTGTAAGCAAGAACTACGTAAGAATCTGTGTGTGGTGATGATTTCAACACAGTTGACACTATCAAGACAGGAGACTCCCTTCCTTACACAGAGAATTTGTCTACACTGCATCTCCCCAACCCTTAGATTAGGGGCAGGAGATAGGAGAGTTACCCAGATATTCCTGAATCACCAGATAAACAGGGAAGAACAGCTGACAGCTTTACTGAGAGCCCTCAAGCTCCTCAAAGCCTGAGGCTATGACACTCCCAGTACCATGAGGTAGAACCAAGTGGCCAGCCCCCTTTATATAGGTCTCCCATTACAGAGAAGCGGCTCCCAGCAGTGCTGCCATCACCCACCTTTAACGAACAGGCCTGGCAAATGGCTACATTACACCACAAACACATCCACCTCTGGCTGACATGAAAGCCTCACAGTCAGGATGCACCTATAGCACCAGACTACAGTGGCAGCCTTTTGCTCCAAGGCCGCAGCCTCCTGGCAGAGGTGGCCCTTCAGGAACAAGTGCCAGGAGTGCCAAGATCTACCTGAGTGCTCCACACCTGGCACATGTCCTAGAGGTAACCAGGAGTTACCAAGCAGCCAACAGCTTGCAGAACCTCGAAGTCAGGGATGTGCTTCCAGCTCTTTCCAAGCTGGACACATTTACTGGGTGAAAGCAGGCAAACTGCTCACAGGAGCACAAGCAGCTGGGGAACCAAGGGATTCTTCAGAAACCCACAGTATTTGCAATTCACATCATCCAGATGAACCTCCCTCCCCTTCTCACTCACATGTTTGAGCAAGCAAGATATGTAGAAATCTATCCCAGAGAAGACCAACAATAAGCCAAGGATAAAAGCAATTAAACATCCTTGCAGGGCATGTAAAAGTTGTGTCAGCTCTCCCAGATGGCTTTCCTTCATTATTGTATTAGAGGAAAAGGACTGCAAGGGTCAATGCTAAACAGTGATACACCTCAAGGACAATCCTAACAAAGAAATGCCTGAGAGCTTGTGGAACAGCTCACAGCAGGGAAACATATGAGACAGGTTATTTTGAGACCACAATTTCACCTACCAGTAGCAGTCCAGGTAGTCTTTGATCCCTTTGAAGCTAAACCCATTGCTAGCAGAATTAGACCTGCAAAGAAAGGATGAAAACAGCAAACTATGAACCATCAAAGCCACCTCTGTTTAGATCTGTAGACTGCAGCACCACAGTCAAATGCAGGTTTGGGCCTCATAGCAAACTTGCTGGACACCATTTGGACCGCTAGCCTATATATTTCAGCTACCATTCTGTCAGACTCCTTGCACACATACCAGATACCAGGTACACTAAGGGTCTGCCACAGAAATAAGGGGTCAGTCTTGCTGACATGTTCTAGTTGCTTCATATTTCTACTCCAACAGAGCAGTCATTAAACTGTCCAAAATCTACTCCAGGTTTACACTTGCTACTCTGTAACATTACAGAATACACTGGTAAATCTGCTCTCAGGTTCTCTGTCACAAGTTTGATCCGAAGTTAGTCCGCAGCAGATACAGTGTGTGGTGCAGGAGGGGGAAAAGGCACTATGCAGCACACACAAGGATACACATCAGCAAACTGCTTAAAAACTAAGCCTGTGGCTCTAGCACACAAGAGTGAGTCCATTTCTCATCACAACAGGATGAACATAAGATCATCTGAAGAGCTAGCTACAATTACTACTCCATATCGTCACCCACACCAGAGGTCATATCCTGGAACAGGACAGCATACGGCACCATAATGTGCTATGCTGGGAACAGGAAAGGCTCCAGTAACCTGCCCCATAATACTCAATATATCAGCAGAGGAGCTGGGGACACGAGAACCAGAAGGCCCCACTCACCCTGACCAATGCCTGCAGGAAATACCTCCCTCCCTCTCAAGTGAAGGGGCTGAAAGTTTTTCCTTGCTCTAGCTTAAGAACTCAAGCAGGGAGTAAGCTTAGTCCTGTTAAAAGCCAAGATACATACAGAGAACCCACTCTGAGAAGCTGATGAAGTGCAACTCATAGACATTTTCAGTAACTACTGGATAGGCCTACAACTAAGAACAAAACCAGATGGGGGGGAGCATTCATAGCAGTCTAGTTGCTCCTACCTCAGCATCAGGCCTCAGTGAGACACGTGAATAATGTTTCATCTGGAATCTAGTGGGATTCAGTCAATTACAGGCTGCAATCAAGAAGGCTTTAACCAAGCAACCTAACTAACAAATCCTAATTTCTCGTGGATCATTTTCCTTGTACTCTGTGTTCCTTCTCTCCTCCAAGCAACCCTCGTGCTCCCCATTGAGATTCCTTGCAGGCAAGAAAGAGCACACCTGCAAACTCACTTAAAGGGGTGTATGTGCTGACTAGCCAACCACTAAGTGTATCTGCTCTAATAGTGCAACCAGCGTCATGGCAATGGCAGAATTTGGTCTCTCCCCAGTAAGCAGAGTCCCTGAAGCTTGCAGAAACTTCACAGTGCTTGTAGTTACTGGTGATTTATAAGTTATGAAAGGAAAGATAACTGACAGCACAATTGGTTTTGTAAAGTAGCTGGGCATGGAAAAAGATTTCAAGACAGATTACTGACAACTACAGCTTCCCACTTATATAGTGCCAACACGTGTGTTCCTCCACTCCACTCTTACACATCATATACTGACCTTGCATTGAGCAGCTGCTTGATAATATCTGAAGTGCTTTCAGCCTCAGACTTGTCTTCCCTAACCTCTGCAGCAACCTCCGGGATAAACGTGGGATCTTCGTGAATGTCAAGTGAACGCATGAGCGAGAAGTTGTTCAGCCTGAAACAGAGAGAGTCACTGCTGGAGTCGGCAAGCTCTACCATGACTAATTTTTCAGATTGTGCAGGGGAACCCTACCCAAGAACGTTTTGTCTCAGCAGTCTGCTCTCACAGCAGGGAGTTGCAACACTTACATGATAATCTCTCACACCTTTCCTAAGGGCAGCATCAATCCTATTCTGCTTGCTTAACAAAGCCTCCTACCCCTTGACATAAGGCCAGCCAGCCTCCGCAAACCCAAGCTGTGAATGAACCAGTGAAAGTTTCCACATTCACTTTAATTAGACATATCACCCACAGACCAGAAAAGATGGGAATGGAGACAAAAAGAAAGGAAAAAAGCCATCCATTCAAGCACTAATACTGTTAAAACAAGAACCTCTTCAGACTTTTCCATGACCTGCCTCAACGTAGTTTGTTGCAGCCAAATGTAATGTGGATTGCAGCATAAAATCAGTCCTTGGAACTTGTAATGAAGCAAAAATCAACATCCTTGTCATAGATGTCAAGCTGCACATAAATCTGCTGTACAAGAGCCATGACACTTGTCTGGATTTCATTGATTCAAAAAGCTCATAACTGAAGAAGAAATTCAGAGGTATCCATTGTGTTTAATACATTTCTCCATGTCCTGGGATCTGAACAGATGGCCCACCAAATGATGGTCAACATACGTGAGCCTGAGGTCCCTGACACCTCTTACCTGCACGGCTCTTAGTGCAATGTACATTTGGAAAGCACATTTTCTAAACTAAAATGTAAGCGAGAGAGAAGGACTAAAGGCTGACTTAAAATGGTGAATGTCTTTTAAAAGTACCTATTAAAAACTCTGAACTATGTGTCATGTACTTTTATTATTATTTTACCACTACTGGTGGTAAACACAGCAGACTTGCACATCCACAATCTTTGAAACACTGCTCTATAGCAAGAGCACAGAAAGGCAAAGAGGCAATCTGGTGAAGTCAGTTTCCAAGTACACGCCTGACTGTGAAAAATTTAATTCCTTTTGATAGGGACCCACTCAAACTAAAGATGTTTTAAAAAAGAAAATAAAAGAAAATCTAGTAAACATCCTTGATGAAATAATCTCACTTGCTCTTCACTCGAGTTATGTAGCTTCTCTCTTAGAAAAGTTCACTTCAGATAACCTGTAAGTGGTGTTCAATGCAAGCACCTTAAAAAAAACAACAAACAAAACCCCACAAACTTTGGAGGGGGGAAAAACTCCCCACTTACCTTATTAAGAACGGCAGTAAGAATATCTGTCCAAAAGCCTAAAAGAAATTAAGCAGAAACACTAGTTTGCAGTAACTTTGACCTACGCATCTTCCTCACTAGATAAGGAATGCTGAATGTGCTCAAATTGCTGCAGTCTCAGAGCACCCTATAAAGCATGCAGTGCTATGTAGTAAAAAATAGCACAAATACTTTTATTTCAGGCCACAAACTCAGCCTGAAATGCTTCCCCTCCTTCTCTTATATTTAAATAATCATAAGGGTTGTATTCTTCTGCCTCTCCTGCAGAAACATGCATTTGTCTTTCCCTGACTGTCTAGAAAGCCTGCAGCTGCAGGCTGCAACACTTAAGAGGTATCCACATAGCTCCCATCCGTTCCTTTCTTCATGTTCTGCAGATTATGCAAACATTATGCAAACATAAGGCAGAAGCTTATTATTATTTTGTTTATCCCACTGTTAGGATCTTTCCTGTTACTCAACCAGCTCCTGCAGTAAATTTGGAAAAGCACAAGAAATATAAAGACTCCATGGTAGCAGGCAGCTGAAAATGCTCTTTGAATACCTCAGTTCGCCGTGTAGCAATACCAGTGGTCCCAAAGAGACCAGCCATGTTCTAGCCTGTCTTAATAGCTCAACAATGGACTTCAAAAACATGTTAAGGGATGCACAAATACAGCACAAGTCTGAAGCCTTGCTATGCTCCTACATCCATGGAACGACGCGTTGCCTCACACATTACATAAGAATTACACTCTCTTTTTGAAAGCGCATTGCTCCTAATCTACATCTAACCTAGAACAGCACAATCCTGTAGGAGACTGAGATATTGCATCACCCCTCCAAAGGGAGATGTCATGAAAGGAAACACACCCAGGGTCATTCACCAGAAGCAGCCACAAAGCTATTAAAAGTATAAAGGTACAAAGGATAAAAAGGTATTCTAGTTTTTATGTCCTGGAAGAAAGCCACTTGCAAGGTATTGTCACGAATAAATTCACGGCCCATTGCTAGCTTAACCAGCTGCCAAGCTCTCTAACAGGTGCAATGGGACTTTTGTGCCTAACCTTGATACTGGCTTAGAAGGAAAGGCCAAATAGCAGCAGCAACAAAATCCACCTGCTTTTGGACAGACGATGCCGCAAGGTGCTCACTGCTGAGGGGACACAGGCTTTTCTACCCCTGGCACCTTGACATGCCATGGTCAGACCTCCACACCAGCCACAGCGGAAATCAACCCCCATGGTCACAGGCACACCAAAGCCCATCCAAGGAAAGGCACTGTGGGGACAGCTGCCTTCAGTGCCAAAGCTCACCAGAGGAAAGGCACGGGGGTGGGGGGACAGGTGCATTCAGCACCATCCTGAAAACCACACTCAGAGAGCTGAATGACCCAAATCCCTTCACATCCAAGGAAGGCTGGTGGTAACTGTATTCTGAGTTTGATGTTGGCAGCGGGCGACACTGGTGACACTCTCAACCAGAAGCCAGCTCTCTCTCCCCATGGCATCCCAACTGCGGGACTGGGTGAACCCAAAACCCCTCAGAAACCCACAAGTTCCTGACAGTTCCCCTACAAAAGCAGGTTTCACCTTCCCACCGAGACTCGCCCCCTCCCTCCGAAACC